TATGTATATAAGTCCAATAATTTTTTCATGATTTAAAAAATATTAACCAGCTATCAAAACCAAAGACAGTATATTAAAAAAGCAAAAACATGGGCCTCCCTGGTAGCTACAAGTTAAGTTTAAGCACTACCACTGAGAATGCCCACCACCATGGCCTGAGTTCAATCTCTGGCCACAAGCTGACCCACATATAGCTCAGCACACCTCTCCTGTTTCGCTCGCTGTTCCCCTTAGCAGTGTATTTCAGTAAACCTGCCTGTTCTGCTCCATATTCTGTCTTTGGTGAATCCTCTCATGCCCTGTTCTGATCTACACTCCAGCTCTTCTATGCATAAATAAAAAAAAAAAAAAAAGGGAAAAATCTTTGGGGGGGGGAATAAAGCAGTATAGATCTTAACATCAAAAGCAAACTACAAACTGTCAAAGAATAACTAGTAAATATAAAGACATTTGAGTACTCATCACAAAAGTACAGACCAATTAGAAAATGGTCAAGAAACATGAAAAGGTATTTCACCAAAGAGGATATACAGATAGCAAATAGCCACATAAAAAGATGTATAGAATTAGGGAAATGCAAAATGAAGCCACAATGATAAAATATTTACACACCTATCAGAATGGCTGAATTAAATGTAAATTGTATAAACACTGGTAGTTTGGTAATAATTTAATATAATCCAGCAATTAAAATTCTTGGACATTCATCATAGAGAAATGAAAACATGCTCACATAAAAATCTGTACATGAGTATTTCCAGAAACTTTATTAAGAGTACAAAACTAGAAACTTGGATGTTGTTCTATGAATAACCAATTAAACAAATTGGCCCACCATGGAATACTACTTAGCGTTAAAAGGAATGAATTATTGAAATGTACAATCACTTGGCCAAATCTCTAGAATATTATGCTGAGTGAAAAATAGCCAAGCCCAAAAGGTTACATACTATGTAATTCCATTTATATAACATTCTTCAAATGTTCTCATTATTAATGAATGGCAGGAGTTAGAAGGTCTGGAAAAAGAGGTTAAAGTTAGGTGTTGCTAGATCTAATTTGACAACATGACTTTTGTAATGGAAGAGTTCTGAATCTTAACTATCAATATCAATATCCTGGTTTTGATACTGTACTATTCTTTTGTAAGATGTTACCATTGTTGAAAATTGGGTAAAGAGCTCAGGGAGTCCTGTAATTTTTCTTATATGTGAATCAATTGTAACCTCAAAATAAAAAAAGGAAAAAAATGAAGTTGTCTAGTTTTGTAATTCTTGCCAAAAGTAACTCAACATGGTAAATGTTGAGTGTATTATAACTAGATTTCTTTTGGTTTCCCGTTCAGAAAAAGCCTGGAAAGATCAAAGAACTGGAAAGATCAAAGAATTGGTAAGTTAGCTTTTGTGGAAATAGATATTAACTTAAAAAAAAAAGTACTAAAACATGCATAAGGAATGTGGTTTACCAACAGTCTTCTCAATATAAGCACAAAAGGTCATCTGTAAGACTAGCCTCTTGAATTGTTGAACTGTGCAGCATTCTCTAGCACATGGAGCAAACCGAATTTTGTGCCACTAGCACCAAGAAAGATCATAGATGTCACTTCCTTGTAACACATTAGAAATTGATGTGTTTGCTGACTGTAATGCTAAAATCTAGTTCTTTTTCCTATTTCCAACCTTAAATTTCTACAGGTTAAAATTCACATGACATTATATTATTAATTTAAAAAAAATTCACATGACTTTTTCAACAAGAGGTTAGAGAGGCAGAAAGTTTTAAATTTTATATGTTCTATAAGTTTCAGAGGCTGGTAACAACACTACCCCACTTCCTTTTTGGGGAACTGAGTGACAAATGATGGTAAGTGGGAAGCCTGACAAGACACAAATGACGAGTGTTGGCATACATTTTCTTTAAAATTATCATCTTGGTATTGTTTTTAACATACAACTCCTAACACAGGTATATATCTCCATATTTAAATGAAGTTGATGTTCATCATTATGAATTATATAATCTATTACTGAGAAATAGGGTAAGTAAAAGGGAAATAGTTCTAGTATAGACCACTATGTTAACATTGTAACTACCTTTTCTCCAGAATAATTCAATTATATTTTTCAAATATCTTCTAAGACCTACAATAGCAATTTCTTAAACCTGCCTAAATCTCTACAGCACTTCTCAGTAATCAAATACCAAGATCATAGTATAATTTTATGTAACTGCCTCTGGAAAATATTGGAGATGATTGAGTCAATAAATGGTTTTCTAGTACTGGCTAGTTGAGGTTCTTTTAAGGCTCAGCATTTTATTTTGCAGTTATTTCATCATAGGTTATACTGACTCAAAAGTAACATCCAACAAACTATGTAAGAGAAAACTAGATGAGAAAAGGTAGCAGCAACGGTTGTCCTTTTACATGGTACTAATTTCCACATATTACAGCAGATGTTTATTATTGTAAAGGCAACTATACAATGAAAAATTGCCTTCTAGTTATATCCCTAAAAGCTGAAAAGGTAGGGGAGGGATAAAAGAATTCTATAACCCCTGGTTTAGGTCTTGCAAATTATAGGAATACTTAGTTATTTCTGTGCCAAACAAAATATCACATAAAACCAGGGAATGTGAGTAAAGGGAGATCTTATCAAGCTCAAACCTTTTCTGATGCATGAGTTTCTTTTCTGTTCTGGAAAAGTAGTCCAACCTTTGCTTGAATGTCTCCAGTAAGGCCTGATTTCTTATCTGAAAAATGAGGGGATTATAATGACTGCTCTGGACCCTTCAAGTTCTAATAGTCTATTTAAGGAAATCTAAGCTTTTTTGGCTAAACCACTAGTTTGAATAGACTCTGCCTTTTAAATATGTTAAATTTAGTTGTAATCTATTGTGAAGTTACAATTCTTAAGCATATGTTATATGAATCTCATCCCATGTATTTAGTCAGTTGAATATCACGATGACAACCAATTACCAGAAATTTATGAATATTAAAAAACAATCATAAGTGACAGGGAGATGGCCTCCATTTCTTTTTTAAAATTATGTTAATTTTTATCAGTACTGGCACCCAATTTCTAATTCAGTTCCAACTTGACCATCATCACATTGCTCCTGGTTCCTGCATAATTAGTACAGGTAATTGGTACTCTTGTGATTTGGGTAAGGATTATAATAGATGATAAGTCACTAGGTAACAGGTTGTTGGGGAAGATGGTATATTCAGGGCCTCAATGGTTATTTATCAAAAAAGAAAAACTGTCCTTTTATATTGGAAAGATCTTAGTCACCATCTGAGCCAAATGATTAAACCTAGCATCACAAATACAATAAAAACATAGTATCACCCATGTGGATTTCTTGCCAAATTTGTTTGATCTGATTCTAATCAAGGAATAATTAGAAAAATTCACACTGTGGGATAATTTGTAAGATGACTGATTAGTTCTTTGGAAGTGCGAAAGTCAAAGTGGTGGAGGGATATTCTGATTAAAAGTCTCAAGAAGTGTGACAACTAAACACAATGTGAAATTTGAATCTTGGATTGAAAAAAAATTTTTGAATTTTTTTTTGATAATTGGAGAAATCTGAATGTTATCTTGGTAGATGTGATAGTCTTACTAGGCCATGAAATAAGTTTTTTTTCAAGGAGAAACATAATGAAGCAATTAGGATAAAAGGTCATGATGCCAGCTAGTTACTTGCAAATAGCTGAGCAAAAAAATATAAAAAAGTTAATATGTATATGGATATGAAAGTGGGAAACAGAAAGCAAATAAGTAAAAATGTTACCAACAAAGAAATGAAACAAAGAAAGAAAAAAAAAAAACCTGTGAGCCATGATTTTTGCTTATGAGCTGGGTCTTTTACTGGGTAAGTCAGATGTCCAAATTGATTGAACTTGTTTGATATACTTTGAAAAGACTTTATCACATGTTCCTTACTTTAGATTATTTGTGGAAGGGTTAGGAAGTTATGGCTGACTGACAGCCCTAACTCATTATTAATCAGAGCAAATATATACCTTTAAAAGATTACTGCAAACTGCTTTCAGTTGTAAAGGATGACTTGCCAGTTTAGAGATAAACTTATGAGCACTGACTAGATGGAAGCAAGCCCATTCAGTTTTATCACCAGCACTGATATTAACAGGGTTAAAAAGATCCCCAAATCAATGGCTTTATTTAAGTATTATTGTGTGCTACACTAATACTTTAGAGACTACAGGGGAAAGGTCACTTTTTCTTTGACAACTCAGAAGACAAGGGAGTCAAATATGTCTTAATTCTCTGACAATGTCATTCTTTTAACTCACCTACATTATGAAACAAATTGTGACAGTTATTACCTAAGAGTCTAATGAAGAGGGTAATGGAACTGAAATAAAAATGATCACAGAAACTCATAATAAAAGTGCAAAGAATTAAAATGGTCTCCAAAGCTGAGTCTTCACATTCCCATTTTAATTCCACATTACTTCTATGAAAGTGGATGGCTGAGTTGTAAAAACGAAATGTTTTTTTGCTTTTACATCAGTTTACGTTTTTCTTTACGTTGATTAATCTAAGCCCCTAGTAAACGTAAAAAGAAACGTGTAAGTACTACATCCTTCAATAGTATGCAAACCAGTAAGGGTTTTAGGTTCTGGTATTCAGTCGAGAGAGGGTTATTCAAAGGAGGGTCTCCTGCCAGTCTGCTCAAGGTCATGCAGTGGAGGATTTAAGGTCTAACTGTCTCACTCTCAGAAAACAAGACCCCGACTCACCAAACCCGGGATGAGGGTGGCTCAGAGCTCAAACTCCTCCGCCCTAGTCACGCGTTCCCTGGCAGGTCGTAAACCCGTTTAGGGGCCGCGCAGCCGGGCTCCATCCAGACCCCCACAGCCCCAAACACGCGGCGGCCTCCTTGAGAGACAGAGCCACCTTTCCGGAGAGTAGCCTGCCGCCCACCGCCCGGGAACCCGGGGTTCTGAGGGAGAAAAAAAGAGACCATACTTAAGCACCGGCTCTCGCATCCGACACCAGCAGGAGGCTGGGGGGCGGCTAGGCTGCCAGTCGAGTCTGGGGGCGGAGGGTTGGGGTCAGGGCGGGCGCCGCAGCCGCTGGATGGAAGAGAACACGTGGGAACGGCGATCTCAAATAGCCAGCAGCTCCTCGACGCCGATTCGTTATAGCGTGGTGACTTCTAGGAGAAGAGCACTTCTCCTCACCAAATTCTAAAATCTCCTGCTAATTAATTATGGGATCGTCTGCTTAAACAATGTTCTCTATTTCTGAAATTTTCTCTCGTATCAGCCGGAATCTGCGAAAGGTTTCGTAACACTAATTTACCTATTCCACTCCCTAACGGTCTCCAGGAGCCACATTGAAAACAGTCCCTAATACACACAAGGGGTTACTTTGGAGTCAGGTCGGGAGCCCCACTGGTCTTCGATGGCTCTTTCGGGATTTAGTCAATTTTCATGTTTTGTCGGCCATGTACTCTTTAAAAAAAAATTTATAGCTGTTACGAACAGTTTGTGTTGGGAGTTGGTTTCCTTCCGGAGAGAAATGGAAGAGGACCAGAGAGCATTTAGCTTTTTGGTTGGATGTTTTGGATGAATTTCTCCGCGCGCATGCGTGTTGTTTCTCAGGGCGGGGGCGGGGTGGGCTTAAAAGGAAGTGGGTGTCCACCCGCGGGCAACTGAAGCTGTTGTCAAGTTAAACCTGTGGTCCAGCGGTTGCCGAGCGTTCGGGAGGTGGCGGAGAGGTGAACCTGGGATTTGGATGGTTGCGTGTGGAGCGGTGTGTGAACCACTGTGCCCTAAGAAAGCTATTAAGCTTGTTATGGGGTGCTTAAAAAAAAAATTAGCGTTCCGGTTTTACCTGCATAAACTCCCTCTTCTCAACAAATCGTTCCCACATCCGTTTGATTTTGTGCAGCCAGCCTTTGGTTGCGGAGTACCTGTGGTGTGGTTTATTACTGCTTTGCGGCGTTTCTCTTATCATCCTTGTTTTCAGCTTCATTGGCAAGTTGCATTAATAGAGTGAGTGGGGTCAATCGGTAAATATGTTTTAGACGTCTCTAGTTTTAGATTAAAGAGTTAATACCACGTTGAAACCCCAAACTTTGTGGTTAACTTTAGACATTGTTTTTACTTAAAAATAGGTGAGTGCGAGTTTCAGAATTACTTGAAATTCACATTTTCTTTATCATACTTCTTCGCTTCTCCCCTTCTCCGCACCTCTCCTCACCCCCACAAGTTTTCAAAGTGGTGAAAATGATGTTCTGAAGTCTTTTATGGACCCAGAAGAAAGTTCTTTTCAGGACAGTGGGACCAATTTTGTTACCAGTAATATGAAAAACTCTGATTTTAGCCCGGAAAAGAAAAAGAGGGTTAAAATACCAGCGAGGAGACTTCGTGAGGTAGTTTCTCAAAATCAGGGAGATAATTTGGCTTTGCTGAAAGACGAGTCGTCCCGTGTTCCTCCAGCGTTGTCTGCAAATAAACGTCTTACTGTTAGAACGGGGACTAACGCCAATGGAACATTACGTGGTATGTACTTACAAATAATTTTTCAATCAGTTTCATTTCTGTAAATCATTATTTTCTTTTGTGTTTCAAATTTTAGTGGCCTTCCATTGTTTATGTTCCAAACATAAGAATTGTCTAATTTGTACAGGAATTTGAAAACTGGCTCCTTTCTCTGGAAAAATGACCAGGGATGGACAGTATGTATAGAATAATAGCAAATATGTGGAATGAGTGAAACATTTACATTTGTTTTGTTTTGTTCATATGTGCGATAAACAGTTAATTTATGCGCTAATTTTCCCCCACTGGTAGGACTTTTTTTAAAAAATAATACAATGATTTATTTTTACATCATTTTGTGCCTTTTTCCATCTCACTTGTAATCCCCGTGGGCTTCCCATCACCATATCACCCGCGTGCCATCACCATAGCCCCGTGCACTTCTCTCCCCTCACTGTTTTTTATTCCATCCTCCTTTCTACTCCCATAAAATGTATCTGGTATATAGTTGTTCATTATTATTAGTTTCTCCCCTGGTCCTTTATACTTTATACTATGAGAGAAACCATCCGGCATTTTCCCTTTTCTTTCTGGCTTATTTCTCTAAGCATGATCTTGTCCAGCTCCATCTATGTTGCTGCAAAAGGCATGTGTTTATTTATTTATTTTTGGTTGCTGAGTTATATTCCATTGTGTATATGTACCACATCTTTTTAATCCAGTCATCTACTTTTGAGCATTTGGGTTGTTTCCATGTCTTTCCAATTGTAAATAAGGCAACAATAAATACAGGGGTGCAGGTATCTTTTTGAATCAGTATTTTTGTGTCTTTTGGGTAAATACCTAGGAGTGGGATTGCTGGGTCATATGGAGGCTCCATTTTTAGCAGTTTGAGAAACCTCCAAACAGTTTTCCATAATGGTTGTACTAGTTTGCATTCCCACCAGCAGTGCAGGAGAGTTCCTTTTCTCCATATTCTCACCAACATTTATTGTTGCTAGTTGTTTTAAGATGAGCCATGCTCACTGGTATGAGGTG